GGCAGAAACCTCGGACAGACCCTTGGGCTCTAGGTGGGTGGTCGTCTGCCTCGACTTTTCTTGGTTATATTTGGATGATGAGGATTTGATCTACTGCTTTATATATGTAGTAAACAAATTCAGACGTTGGAGCATCAAAATCGATTTTTCAATCACAGGAAACAGGTCAGAAAAAGTCTGTAAATTAGTTTTAGCTGAGGCTAACTGACTTCCTTTGTCTTTGTGGTGTCTTTTTTTCTTTTACTTAACATTTCTATGGCATGATATTTTTAATATACTAAAACAGAGGTTAAAAGGTTTTAAAGCTGCAGTAGGTAACTTTATTAATCTGTGATAAAAATCCTGTTCCACTGGCTGATTTTTTATATCTGTTTTATGTACCACTGTCAGGATATAGTGAAGGTTTCAGCTAATATGTTGTTTGTGCATTGTAGGGCAGTATAACACCGGCACACTATTGGTCCCTGCTAGAATCTCAATGACTTTGGAATAAATGTATGGTTAATATTTGATTTAGAATTTTAATTTACACCATATAATTAACATGAACCAGACAAAACGTTCTTATCAAAGTTTAAAGACAAAAAAAAAGACAGGTGTTAGACTGACAGAAAAATACTTAGACAACTTTATTGTGTATCAAAATACTGTCTTACAAACACTTTTAAAGCCTTTTTATTTAGGACAAGATTCTTTTTTTCTGAAAGATAGATTACGCACAAAGCGAGCTGGAAGGATAAAGGGAGGGAGTGGGTGACGGCTAAAGGGTGGGGCGGGGTGGGGTGGCTGAGATACAAACACTGAGCAGAAAACAAAGCAACACCTGTTCTCATTTGTTTTTGGTCATCGTGTTTTCATCACCTTCAGCCCTTCTGTCCAGCACAACTTTAGAAACATCCCTTTTTAAGCCTTATATGAAAAAAGTTCCATACTCAAAAGGTGAACCACCACACACGTCATGTTGATGCTATTCTGAATCAGAGGCTGTCTGTATCCTAATGAACATGCAGAGCACATGTTGGTGTCACACATTAAAAAAAAAAAAACCACACGAAAAGCGCAGTTTCCCAGCAGTGTTGTTGAGAGAGCACGTGTGAGACAATCCACGAGAAAGCTTCTGCGAAATGTGGCCTTTCACGTAGGTTGCCATACCTTTAATCTTTGTTTCCCTATGCTAATCCATATTACGGCTTTCAAGAACAGCAGTGACTAAAACTGGATCACACTAGCAGCAGATAAAAGAGTTAGTTAAAGAGCATCATGAACACCACATGCTGGAGTGGACTGGGCCAGCGCTGAGCGTTTGTTGTTATAAGTAAAGGACAAAGCCGGTCATCTGACTTTTATACAGACAATAAAAGGTCTTGTATCAAAGTGTGCTATAGTGTGTAACATTCTTACATAGAAACCCACAGGTCAGGAAGACACCCTTTGGTTCAGGTCCTGTGATTGTTCATATAAAACTGAATCCATTATGTATGTATGTATGTAAGAGTAGCTCCTCCAGTGTAAACAGAAACCTTCCATCCAATGCTGGGCTCAGCGGGGCCAAAAATCTATTGCTGCTACACTATGCTAAGCTATCCTATTATTCTACACTAGCTCAGACAAATCTAATGTCCACTGCTGGCTTACAGTAATAAAAAAGGTGCATCTTTTTCCTCCGTAAAATGTACTGAATGATGTGCTTAGCGAAGGAATGAAACAAGGAATGGAGCGAATGACTGTAAAGAGAGGAACATTGATCTTTGGGAGATTCTGACTGGGTTAGAGTGACAATGTTTAAAAACAGAAATCTAATGTGAGAGTTTGTTTTCTAGTTGGTTAAATAGTTGCAGAAATCTTAATTTGTAACACAGGAGGGACTTGTAGCTGTAAACAATGATCGGTTAGACTCTAGATAGAATTTAAAACAGTGGTTTAAGTTTCTGATTGTGGAGCTGGGTTTTTAGACAGTGATGTGGTAGGGACTGCCCGGGATGTGTTCGTCTCCCCACTTGACCACCAAGATGTACTCTCCCTTCTCTTTAAGCTGGTAGCTGACGTTGTACAAGCGGTTGCCCAAATGTTTTACTAGGATCTCCTCACAGGGGACCTTGGGACCATCCACGCCAACCAGGAGCATATTACGACCTGTGGATGGAGACAGAAGGGATGAGTGTCAGTATCACTGTGTTATTATACAGCGGCAACCTGCACTGCGGACAAATGAAGCCAATACCGAAGTAAAAAAAAAAAAAAAAAGCAGTTCCTCTAACGGCCACTTG